GGAGTGAATCTTGTAGCCACGAATTCTGTTCCTTACAACCATGGTGTGATTTGGAGCAAGGCTTTGCCTACCTGAAATAAGTGAAAAAAGAAAAAAAAAGTGATAAAAGAACGTGAAAAAGGGAAATGAAGTTGGATGAATGGGACCTCCTTAGTGGGTGGATTTGCATGTCCTGTGAAAACCCACCTGCATGGTCAACGCCTGCTGTGACGCTGGGCCCATCTAGAACACCTGTCTTTCTGTGCATTTAGTACCTGCTGTTAACAAAAAGGGCTGTTACTAGGTGGCACATTAACACACTGCAGTAAAGCCTGCTACAGCCAAGCACTGACATTTTTGTTATTTTCTTCAGAATGCAAGAGATGGGGCTTTATAATTTCTCTGCGAACCTGTCACTTTGCCCTGTCTTTACCTTTGATGCCCTGGCTGGTGCTGGCACGTCCACAGTAAGGCCGTCTGGCCTGGATTCCCTCCGTGTAGGAGGGACTTGAACACGGATCCTTTCAGCTCTGCGTCTGTGGGGTCAGCATGGTTCAGTGTGCTTAGTCCAGGGGAGATGACCACGCTGCGGTGTCACACCAGCCACGTCAGCATGACTGTGCAACTGGAAAAAGGCAGGCGGATTGGGGCCAGCACCTGCCGCCGGCTTGCCTTGCCCACTGGCACCCAGAGTGTCACTGTGTGCACCACTGCAGATGGCAGGAGGTGACCACAGGGTGAGAACGTAGAGCCCTTGTGGACAGGTGAAAGTACTGGGATAACTGCCCAGAAGAGGGAACACTGGGCATTCGTATCCCAGAGGGACAGGAGGACGGTGCTCTTGGCCTCTCTGTGCTGGAGTCAGGTAAGGGGTGCGGTTTGTAAAGAGCACTTGGGAGGTTATATTCATTATGCCTGCAGCTCCCTTGACAGCACCGTGAGAAGTTAGTCTTATATGCTTCCAGCGCATGTGCTGTTTGCACATATATTGCTTGGGTGCATGGCACAGCCAGGTCCTGGTGGTCAGAGCAGTGACCGGGACAGACAGCCCCTGCCTTTCTGAACTACAGTCTAGTGGTACAACCTGCCTGTCAGGTGAACTGTGTCCCTCACTCCTGCTGCTGGGGCAGCTCTGCTCTCTGCCTTCCGCTGCCTCCCATGGGCTCCCCACGCCCCCCACGATGCATAAGCCTAGTCCTGCCTTCCCTGCCACCAAAGCCATCTTCCCTGTCTTTGCAAAAGGTAGCATTCCTGGCAGGGACAGAGAGCTCTCTGGAAATGAAAGGAATCTGTGCATGTGTTCTTTTCCACATTTCTTTGTCTTTTTTTTTTTTTTTTCGTGCCCGGCAACGGATCGCAACCCTCAGTGTCGCACCCGTACCGGAC